CACACACGTGCAAGAACGCACACAAAAGCACACGACGACACACACACACGTAAGGATACAATTACAGGTACCTAAGTAGACACAGACACGTACCCTGCAAACATACCTACTCAAACAAAGACACACACACGCACGCACACATACATGCACGCACACACGCACACATGCACGCTCACACACGCACGCACGCACGCAAGTCCGACATGACCTCGTAAATCATCTCACCTTCGCAGCACCGACCGACAAGAACACTACCACCATGCCCCCTCCTGTTGCTTTAGCAACGAGATGTCGTAAAAGTGAATCTGGATATAAAATAGAATTTGCAGAGTTGTAAAAATGTCCAGCTTCTTGTGGGATTGACGATGTTGCCTGCATTTAAATGTCTTTGGTAGGTTGCGCAAACTGTGCAGTGCAGACACCCTCCAAAGATATTTATGCCTGAGCCGGTACGCGTACTAATTCTAATTGTACTTTCAAAGCTTGGTCGGTACTTGTTTGTTTGTGTCTCTTATGTTTGTTTGAACTTATGATGTGTGATAGTAGGTACTTACGTGTAGATGTTGGCTTGCCTACGTGAAACTGATTGGTGCATCAACGTCTGCACTTCAATTCTGTACTAAAAATTAAAAAGATTAATTAGATGGATAATTTATAAATAACAATAGAACATTTGCATTTTTATTCTACTACCTGCCCAAAAAACTGATTCATCAAAATTTTCTAAAAGCTATTTGCAGATTCTTATTTAATATTAATGAAATAATAAGGGTTGGCCAGCATTCTGAAAGCCAGCCACGTTCAAATCATTTATTCTCTAATGTTCAAATTTATAATAATCGATTTCACCAATTTATGAGAAATTCATGCAAAAGTTACAGACGAATGAGCGAGTCGTGTCGTGTTAACGCATCAAATGACGTCATCAATCTGTGGCTCGGGGTGGAATCGTCACGTGCATCTGCATCATCGCACTCCTTCTTCTTCAGTAACAGAAAAGAATGAATAGAGCCACGTGAGTGCATCAAGGCAGGCACCGACTGTTGTGTCGAGGGGGCGGATGATGATGCAAGTGCATCAAGGCAATCCATAAAACACGATGTTGTTTCTTTACGAAACGTCTCTTCATCATCTCATCATACTTCCCTTTCTCAACGTCCATCAAACAATATTAAACGGTTATAAAAATGTATGTACTTTTAAAATTTTCCACAACAATTTTTGAACTTTAACAAACTTGTAGCCAGGTTAGACTGCGTTACCAACGTACCCTACAATTAGTGTAGAATTACAATTGGCGTATCTGTTCAAATATTTCAATGACAAATATTTTGAGTAATTTATCGTGTGTAAAATAACTATTTAACAATGAAACTTTGAAAAAATAGTCATTTGACAACCTGAGAAAGTTTTTGTAAAAACCGTAAGGTAAAGTTTTAAACATTTATCGCCCCAAGTGGGAACATTTCCTAAGCTTAAAATCTTAAACGATGATAGTGAAAACATTCAATTTCAGTGCCGTTCATCCGACGTAATAAGATTTATGAATTAAAACCATCATCAGCCAAAGTGACCTTTACTGTCGAAACCTGCACTGAGCTGTTAACGGCCTAGGCCGCCTTCTTTGAGTGGGATGGAGTAGCCACTTACGATGGTTTCCATTTCCCATTTAAGGCAATATGCAGCTACAAATGATCATAAAGATACACGACGCATCCTACATAAGATTCAGATGGTCGGGAATCTTTTAACGTTCGAGCCAATATACCACGAAACTAATACGGCAACTCAAGAAATGGCTCGCCACTTGTCGAACAAATGGTGGGTTTAGAACAGCAGCGTCCAAACATCTGTCGTTGGAATTTCATTTCCGACTCCAACCGAATGCGACGTAAAAATTCTTCCTAAGGCAATTTAAATTCACATCAATTCATACTTGTACTTACGTTTATATTTGCTTACTGCTAGAAAATTTTAAATATTACGCATCGGTGGGGTAGGTGAACAGAACGAGAGTTAGTACTTCAATGGCGGTACTTATCTACGAAGCACGTTTGGCTGAATCACGTGTAAGATGTAGGAAACTCTTCATCCAAGGTTTGAACTATAAATCACAAAAATTTTAGGACATAAATATTTATTTTAAAAATTTTGCTTGGTGATAATTGAATATATCGCGTTATTGTCAACATGATGTCTATCGCTTGTTTAATCCAAAAGTTGAAAAATAATTTCAATAATACATCTTCAATTATTGCAATGACGTCACAAAAAAGTATTAAAATGTTCCGCAGAAGTAATTATTCTCCTTGCCATCTTTGCTACGTCCATGCTGTCATCTTTAAATGGCAAGTATAATAATAATACAACTCTATCCGTAAACGTTTTAAGCTTAAAAGTATAAAAAAGATAATAAATAGGTGAACAACGTGGTAACGTAAGACAGGAAGTTCAACAGTTTAGTGATTGAACAGTTGACAGCAATCTTATCATCAGTGCAAATATATCATCATCTCTAAATATATGGTGAACGTAAGCAAGTGCCATAATTTTTCAATCAATCAAGAAGGGCGGTGATTTTAAAGCGCCATATTAGACTATTTATCCGCAACTGAATATCATTATATTCGCTTGCAACTATTTACAATTTTTTATATTGAAATGTGTATCCAACTTAGAACTGAACAAACAAACACCGCTTTTGAAATAAACAAACCAAAAAACATATATAAACCGGAAAATGTTATCAAAATGATTAGTTTTAACCATTTGAAGTAACATGACTTGATGTGCTTATAATATATTGACATACCTACTTGCAAGAAGAAATAAGGATGAATCAAATATTTAAACTGACCAAAATGCATCCCGCAATTCAAATAAATAAACTTAAATTGTAACAAGGACATCCAAGAGAATGTATGATGAAACAATTGTGAATAACTGGTACAACAAAATGAAACTTGTTGAAAAAAATATTCTCATATCATGCAACATACAAGCATGTGCACGAGAAAACTCATGTGCATGTACAACTGAACCCACAAACACACACATACATACACACACGCACACACACACACACATACTTACAAATATTATTATAAAATCGTTTGAACATTAGCAAAGTTTGACGTTCATGTGTGCGAATGGAAGAACCTTTCAATGCTCAGCCTCACTTAGACATTTGTAAATATTAAAACAATAACTATGCAAAAATAAATTATAAATCGGGATAAAAGCCGTTTCAAATGAAAAACATAAGCTGAAATAGTTAACGCAGTGAACTCCCATAACATCCAACAGTTGAAAATAAATTTATTCGAATGTGATAAAATGAAAGATAACCACAGACGATCGTTGCTTTCATCGTTCAGTTTATTTTAAATGTCTTCAACCAAGAAATAATAATGCTATATAATTTATATAAGTGTTTAGGTAGACAGAGGCGGATGAAAATATCTGGATTCTCATCTATCATTGACTGAAACTCAACAAAAATGTTCTTGGACAAGTTCGGTTAAAATTACCTAAAAAGGGCTAACGTGTTAAATCCATGTTCCCATCCAAACATCATAGAGTCAAGAGGACAAGATGACGTAAAATGTTGCAAAATATTCGGGGAGGTGATGTTAGCTTTAATTTACTTAAATTCGATCGTGGTAATAAATTATGACAGTTCTCTGAGAATTTTAATCCGATGTATAAAATTTACTAAATGTCATCAATAAACGTACCGATATATGAATAACAAATGAAAAAGGCCATACATAACATATGAATATTAAACATTACATATGATTTTACACATGCACACACACAAAAACAGGCCATTCATGTACACTGTGCATACATATGTATAATACATAGAAGAGAAACATAAATACTGAAACAACTTCTAACAAAATGAAAATAAACACACTTTAATTCCTGTTGAAAAAAATAACCAATTAAACAAAATACATAATGTGCGATTGATTAATGTAAAATAACGTGGCTCAAACGTTTCAATAAACAGTTTGGCGTTTTATGAACTTAATTGTATCTTAAAGTAAACTTAGAAATATTTAGAATGAAATATTTACAAGAGATAATAAAAAAATTAACGCATAATCAATATTAACTCGGGTACCGGAAAGTACCTACTGTAGTTCTAACAGATGGGAATCCATAGCTAACTTAACCTGCTCTGATCGAATAATCACCTTCGTTTGATGCTCATCACGAAACAACAACATATAAATTAAAAAAAAGAAGCATTTCTACCGAAACATTCAAGAAGTTGGTTGGACGACATGCAGGCAGGAATGCGCGCATGCCCCACTGCCTGACTTAAACGACGCCCTTTGAAGCCTATGATGGCAGTAGCGCTACTGGATAACAATTAAAAAGAATAAAACTAAAACCTTGTTTCCATCACACGTAATGTTGGTACACATATAACAAGGGTCCATCATAAAATAATGCAAAACAAGGTTCAGCGAGCAATAACAAAATCTGAAGCAATTCATTCCAGCTTGAAATTAATGACGCACAAGTAGACACGTGCACACGTGCAAACGCCACACAAAAATATTGAAGCACTCAAAAGAACTACAACATCACGGTAGGAATATTTTTGAACACAAGCTAACTCGTTTGACAGTTAACGGTGTTTAAAACAGTGGAAGGATATTTGCCCAATGCACCTACAGCACTCACACACACGTCTTGTGGGACTAAATTGAAAACAACACATTAATACCAGCATCCACACATCAAAAAACTATATCCACATACAGAAACAAGCTGGCTAAACAAGGGAACATAGTGAAGCCAACTTGCAACTGACAACATGCTCTGAAATGAAATTACGGAGAACATTTTTTGAAAAAATAGGTTCAGAGTCAACAAAATGATAACAAATGAATAGATAAGAAAAACAATTCTAAAAAATGATCACCAAACAAACGGTGTCAAAAAGAAGACAATAAAAATTTAGCACGAGATGGCAGAGCATGCTATGACTTTTTGCTAGGTTGGACATCGTTGCTGTTGTGGTGCGTGATGGAGAAGCAGTAAATGTTGAGGTAGTCACAAATGTCCGAGCAGACTTGATGGACATAGACCAGCAAATTCATCCATGCATAAATCTGTAAGAGAGGATGTTATTTTCAGGTGTTATAAGTAAGAAACATCATTTTTATATGCAGTCTCACCACTGGAACAGTAACAAATAATTTGAGTCAACGTTTCCACCATCTCCACCATCTACCTCACATACAAATCCACACCTCCACCATCTACACCACTACAAAAACCACATATCCACATCTTCAGCTTTCAACTTACGTCACTTACAATTTAAATCACGTTCAACGCTTCACAACGTAAATCTGAAAACTCACAAAAGCAATCCAGAGCATGAGATCCTCGCTGGCCACCTGGCACATTTGCACGAGGAAGAGCAGACATGGACTGATGAATATGGAATCCACCAAGCACATCTCTGATTTCGTCATGTGACTCACCTTTAATTGTCAAAACAAGATGTACGCGTTTTAAAGTTTTAATGATTGCTTGGTGTAGTTATCGCTCATATTTTTTTGCAAACTATTTGGTTTAAAAAAAATTCCATATTTTAGCTTACTTTGATGAAACTTATTTGAAGAATATTGTAATATAATTTCAGAAAGCATTATCATTTTGATCTGCAAACATTTAAATGGTGTAAAAAAAACAATGTTTAGACAGGAGTGGAGTACTAAGAAGACATTACTCAGTGTTTACATTTGTTTTGTTGCTCGAAGACTGTCCCTCTAGTGTACTAGCCACATTCAATAGATCTTCGTCAGTTCAAAACATTTTTTATTACTATTACCATTACCGTTATTATTATTCCCATCATCATCAAATAATATTATTCACCACATTGATTTATTTGTCTACTCGTCTAAACTTAATCACTAGCTCAAGTTAACCTAACATAATCAGCCCAAGTTAAGACTAACCAGAACTCTGCAGCACAACTTGGTGATGACAACTCCAAACATGAAGTGGTAGAGGACGAGGTTGTTCTGCATGACACGTGACTTCGAAAAGATGCAACAGACCACCCCGAATGTGATGAGGATCAACAAAGGAATGGCAGGGTACACGTTCTTCGTGATCTACAAAATAAAACGATCTAGAAATACATCCAACAAATATGCAAACATACATTCGTGAAATTCTAAGATAATAATCTAACATGACAAATTAAAACTTGAATGGAGGCAGGCGGGAGAAGTATTGCAAAATGTCATTACGATGATGATGCAATATAATTATTCAATTTAAAAACTTAAATTCAAGACATTAATTGCAAGCAAGAAGAACATAACTTTTACCACTTTGATAACACAAGCGTAAAAATCTATAAATAATAATCCTTATCTTCTACAAGTACCTTCAACAATTTCAACTTCTTATCATCTTCACCAACGTTTCTACATATTAAATGTTTGTTTATCATTTCAAAACCGAAAGGATAAACTTTAGACAGCAACAAAACTGCAAGAAGGACCAGAACACAACCTCACAGCATCAACTGGAACACACATGAAACTCAGCAGACCCGTCACTCACTAAATCCTTACTGTCTCCATAGTCGTTATTTATTTTACATTTCATATTATTCAATTCCTAGCTATTTTAATTTTAGGCACAAAATGTTCAAAGCTTATGTAATAACATCAATTAAAAGTAAAACCAAACCATTCCAACAATCATTTATTTGATGAGTTAAAAATTGCCTCATTTGTTTCTTTACCTATCTAGTTTAGGAGCAAATTATTTTTACTCATTGCAAAAATGAAAAAGAAAGCAAATAAGCAGCCTACCAGTTACATCCCATAGAACATTATATATAAAACTAACTTGATGGCAATGTCCTGATGATGCTGCCGCTGCTGATGACGGTGCTGATGAAGTTTTTGATGCACGGGTTGAGGCGTTGCCATCCTGAACTATCCCTCCGTGGTCAGAGGCCTTCCTTTTTATTTCTTGAACAATGACAGTCATGAACTTGACGAAAACTGAGAGGCCAAACAAAATGCCCACAATCCAGAGAATCAACTTGGGAGTCAGACCCTCGACAATGACCTGCATTCAACATTCCACTCTTACTAAATTTGTCGACAAAATAAATCAATTCACGCATTTGTTAAATGTCTTTATGAAAGGTAGTGGCGACTAATATTCCAAAAGATAACAAAATAAATTTATTTTAATTTATTACAATTGGACTTATAAGTTACACTAATATTTAAAAATTAATAAACGATTTATTTCTCCTTAAATTTACGTTTTGCCGTTTTTCTAATTGAAATGGAACTGGCGAACACTTTTTGAGAAAACTTGAGCATTAAATTTAAAATAACTAATTTATTAATCGCTTAATCACACTCAAAAGCAGTTCATGAAACTTTTTGAAGAAATTTAATTTTACTTGAGACAAGGCAAAGCAAGGACACTTGAACACTACAGAATGCGATTGGAAAGCACAAAAGTAGTGACGATTTTCAGATACTGACAATGAAAATGCCAAAACGCCATCTTTTATAAATAAGAATCATGATAAAACAATTGCAGCAAAAAGTTTCGGTTTTGCAACCTTGAAGAATGAGGCAGAGTGGTCGAGAGATTTAATTGAACAAAAAAATGAAACCGTCAACGTCAAAAAGACATTCAAATGGGATACATAAAAACGTGTGCACGAAACTGCAACTATATTTTGAACGATGATTGAAAAGTCAACAACAAGTTTTATTATATAGTGATAATCGGTTACATCTTTCATTATATAGTGATAATTGGTTACATCTTTCATTATATAGTGATAATTGGTTACATCTTTTATTATATAGTGATAATTGGTTACACCTTTTAAATGTTACCAAATATGTTGAGTGCAAATTTCAAAAAAATATATCAGCAATATTAATTCCTGCCACAGAGTGGTAAATGAAATCGCACTCACGTTAGCATTCCAATATGAATGTCCGAAGAATGTGTTGACCAGGTAGAGTGCAATGATGGCAACTTGTCCTTCCGTCACATCCAATCTGTCGTGACGATCGTGGACATCGAGGCACAGATGAGATGAGGATTTAGTTAGATTATGAATTTTTAGATTCTTGACAGATGATTAAAATTATGGCTTACAGTTTTGTATGCATGAATACAACAATGAGTTCTTATCGATAAGAGAGTTTTTGGAATCTTTGCAACTATTGGCATTCTGAATTTCATTTGATCAACTCTTCATAACATACAAATGTAGAAACAGAAATTTATATATGCCAACATATAATAAATTTGTATAGATTTATTTTATATTTATAAATTTAAATTTAGTTAATTTATATGTAAAATATATAAACAAATAAAATTTTTTTGCAATAAGTTTATTAAAATATGCAATTACTAACAATTGCAAACATGTTTCTACTGCATTTGTTAATTTTTTATTGTTCAGCATTGACAAATTAATGAATGAAAAATATCTTTTCACGTGTTAAAAACTTTAAAATAATGTCGATGGCTTAACTTAACTAATAAGGATCATTTTTGCGATGATCAAAGTTTTAATTAGGATTTATTTATCTTGTTGTATAGGGCAAAGTGGTAGCAATATTTATGCTCACTATGTAGCAGCATATTTTGATTGGATCCATGTAGTAACTGACGCAGTTTAATTAAAAAATGGGAACTACTACATTGTGCCAAGTGTCATCTGTAAAATACAGTTTGAAACTTTTCCTTAAATTACAAATTTTCTTAAATTTCCTGTCTCAAAATAAAGTTAGCAATTATTATTTTTTTGAAAATTTAAATTAGTTCAGGTGTTTTTTTTACAATTTTTCAGTTATACCTCAAAAGCATTATGAAACAGTTGAATAAGATGACAATTTATAGCACAATAATAGAAACAAAACGTGAAAAACTGAATTAACAAGCAAAAATCAATGATGACGAATATTGTAAGAAAAATAGGACAAAGATGGCAGGCAGGAAAGCAATCAATCTAACAGTGAGAACTGCATGACTCCAGTGACCAGGGTCTTCCATTGAGCCATGTAGAAGAGGGAGGTTGTTATGAAGAAGACCAGTGAAAAGATGACTGGATGGCTGCCGATCTGCGAAGATATGGCCACACCGAGTATGATCACAACTGGCGGATCGTCAATAACTATTATTAATATCTACGCAATCAACTGTGTTCAAAAAATTGTACAAGGAAAACTTTCTGAAAAACAAAAGCATGACCATCAAAATGAAAATAGGATAATTAAAGCACCAAAACATATCTCAGAAATTTGTTTGAATAATGTAGATAAATAAACACTGGCAACCTTCAAATTTATATAAATATAAAAAGAATCATGAAAAAAAATAAATGCAAATAACAGTTTGATTTCAACTAACCGATTGACAGAGCATCACAGCCATGATCGAAGAGCTCACCGAGAGGAGTGCTGCTGTTCGTCCTCCTCGCCTGTTTGCCGTCAATGGCATCCAGGGATTGATAGATGAAAAGAAGGAATGCGCACAACAAATAACAATATGGGGGAGCCTGTCGTCAATCAGTGAGGAAAGTTCATAAACATGGTAGATAATTTTTCATCTAAAAAGGAAAGTACTAACATATCCCTGATCGAAATAGGAAAATACTAACATATCCATGGCCATCGGGACAGTAGAGCATGAGGAAGACAGTGGAAAGTATGTTTCCAGTCAATCCAGCCAGAGTCAGCGCATTTGGAGCCCATGTCAATGGAATCTGTTCAACCAACCACCTCCAAAATATTTGCATGTATGGGTCCAACAAGGTATTTCCAGTGGAAAAATATTTGTGATCTTTCAATTTGGACAGTTGTTGAATAGACAGAATTCGATTTTTTGTTGGCATTGTTGACATGATTGAAAAATCTTCAATGAAAAAAATTTCAAAGTTTAAAACATGAATTAAAAATATTAAAAACTGGAAATAAATTTCAATTTTAACTTTAAGAAATTGTAAGATAATCTTAAATTAATCTAACTTAGTACTCTTCATTGAAAATTAAGCTAATTAGGAAAATAAAATGCAGATCAAAAGATGAATAAAATTATCAATTACTTAACCAATTAATTAATTAATTAACTGTTTACTCACTCAGTTATTATACTACCTCTCTATAGAATTGAAAACTGACAATGATATTTTCAACATTAAAAAATTATTTGACTATTATAATAATATAAAATAAAGTATTATAATTTAATATATAATCTAAAAAAACAACCATAACATGACATGACATGACATTTTCTAGTTTTGTCAGCAACTAGGATATTTATTTACTAATTTAATTTTTTAATCATCATTTATTAATTGATTCATTGATTCACTGATTTATTAATGATTAATGAATCCATCAATAAATTATTGATTAAATGAATCAACTCAATTTTAATTAAAAAAAAGTCAAAAACTGTAAGAAAAAAAAATTAATTAAAAAATAAAAAAGTAATAAAAAACTACAAAAACTGTAACTTTAACTGCAATTTTTTAAATTAAATTAAAAAATAAATGAAGTTGTTTGTAATTAATTAATTAATTATTAATATTAAAAATTAATGATTATTATTAATGTAACCTTTAATTTAATCAGGAGGATAAATAAAACAAGGGCTCTGTCAAGAACAAATTGAGAATAAAAATTAAGAAATGACTTGAATGAAACTAATATTATAGTAAACTGAAACACAAGCCAACGGAAATAATTATGATATCAGATATAATTAATTAATTAAATTAAATTAATAATTACAACCACTATGGATGGAGACAATAATAAAAAACAATTGACTGAATGGATAATGACTATTTAATTTAACTTTTTAAAATGTTATTTTATTATTATGTGCTTTGTATATATATATATATATATAATTTAACTTTTTAAAATGTTATTTTATTATTATGTGCTTTGTATATATATATATATATATATATATATATATATATATATATATATATATATATTGCTATACAGTTATAGTTATCAGTTATGTAATGTATTGTTATTGTTGCCTTGTGCGTGTGTGGCTGTTTTTTATTCCATGGTTAACGTTGAGTTAAAAATACAGGTCATATAGATATCAAATATTATACACGAATACCTACCTAGCTTAAGAAAAGGAACTTAAAAGCACATTAAATGACAAAATAAAATTTAATGATGGACATAATAACTCAAGTGGCAAGCGAATCTCCTCGCTCGTTTCTACCCAGCAGACCATTCAAAGCGAAAAAACAACAAAATCTAAAAGTGAACTTACACCCTGGCTTCGTATTGAACTTTGGATTGATCACAATTTATAAAATATCGCACTTAGAATGCCAATAAAGGCTCTCGAACGCACCTGTGCACGTTTTTAGTGCGCTTTAGAGTTTGGTCTCATTCTTTAGTTTCCACGAACACTCGCCAAATTTTACAATTTTTATGATTTTATAGTTTATTAATAAATATTTATTCGTTTTTTTTAAATTTTATTAATTTTAATGATTTTTTAATTGATTTATTTGTCAATCAATCAATTACCTTATAAAACGCTATTTCCGCAGGGTCTTGAGATCTGCTCAGAACTTAGTTAGTGATGGAGAAGTAGTAGAAGTAGAAGAAGATTTAAGACATTTGAATAATATTTATAAATATTTAACATCTTTTTTCTGGTGTACGTATAACTGAGTTGATTTGAGATCGTCGTGCTAGACAGGCATCCTCATGGCATTCTTCGGGGGAAAAATTACATTTGTATCATATCAACGTAAAAACAGGAGATCATTAATAATAATATTTTCCCTTTCTAATGTATTTTGTAAAAGACGAATTATCTCTCGTCATATAATCCTGCAAATGTATAAAAATAATTTACCTTACAGTAAACAACGGTTATTTGTGACGTGGCTCGATATGAAGAATCATGTGATGTTAATTTAACTTATTATAGCTAAGCAGTCAATGAACAATGTAACTACGTGCGATGGTAGGCAACGTTAAAAAAACGCTCTGCTTGTCTGGTAACCACATTCATTTCCTTGATACACGGTACATTTATACTTGCATATATATCCATAAATATATCTATATTTATATATGTATATTTACAAGTTTTTTTACATTTTATATAAATCCCCTTTAAGAGGGTGGGCCGATCCCGGTTGTACTGCAATACCGGGCCAACCCGCGGAGAAGTCTGAGCAAGCTCGAGACAGTCTCCTGCTTCCAAACAGTAGTTTAATATCGATGCCCCCCGATGGAGGGCGTATCAGATATTAAGCTGATAAGAACAGATACTACACTTTGATCTTAGCCAAAAGGCCGAGAAGCGATAACACAAACGCCTTGATAATTCATTATGAAGAACTAACGGAATTTAATCTGAGGTGGAAAATTTTTATCTAAAAAAAAAATTTTTTTTTTATAATATGTTTCATTGTTAAATAATTAAAAACAGAATAAAAATTTTGTATAAAAAATTATTTATAATTTTAAAACTTTTGGACTTATTACAAATTATTTTAATATGAAGCTGGTTCTAGCGAATGAAAATAAAAAAACGTTTTGTTTATATTTTTCAAATTTTTCAATTAACCGCAAACAAAAAATATAGATGAAAAATTGTATTTCTCTAATGGAAAACAAGTTACCTCGAGTTTGAAGATTTTGTCACCAAATAAGTTTCATTTAAATCTATAAACGTCAGCTGATGTTTTTAAACTGCCAGACAAGAATTCAAGTTTGAACGGCTTGCAATCACCATTTCTTGAGCAAGATGTAAGTTTTTTGTCAAAATGGTTTTTATGTAAAAAGTTTTCGCCTAAAAAATTTGTGTCAACAACATTTTTTACCAAAAAATACTTTTTACTATTCTCCTAAAAAAATTGATGACCAAGGATTATTAAACACACGCGATATCAACATAACTGTCTTCAAAACTTTATTCACCAGTTTCATGTTACTCGGATAAGTTTTCAACGACGAAATTACAACTGTTTGAAGCCTACATCACCAATTTGCAATACTTGAATGAGCAAATGTGTCAACAAAAATTGTTTCAACAAATACATCCTCGCCATTACCAATGTGAGCAACAAAAGATTTGAGGACGAACAACGTGTAGAAGACTCCAGTCTGTTTATTAGCGACAGCAACGATCCAAGCAATGTACATAAAAATTTTCAGTATAGAGTTACACCCGTTTGAAAAAGGAATAAAATCTATAATTCAAAAAATAATTTATTTAATGAATTAATTCCAAATTTGATTCAAGTTTTTTCGGATCTATAATATTTTTAATTAACTCCTGAGAAAAACTTCAATGGTAGGGGGCTACCTACTTTCTCAAACGTTCGAAACTGCACCTCAAACAGGTCTTCGCAGTTAGGAAGCATAAAACAAAAGTTAACTATGGAGATCCCTGGCTCATTAACTACAGGTCTCCTTATGACGATCGTCAAAGGCCATAGGAGGACAGGATTGCTCCAACGATTGTCGTCCTTACGATGTGTCCGATTGATCAGTGCTTCTATGCTATATCTGAACTTACATTTGTTTTATGAGTTTGAAAATCAATACTGTCTCATTGCTGACTTAACTATGCGATGTATGAAAATTTAAGAACGACATTTCACAAAAATAAGTAAGTGACATGAAAAATTCACCAGTTTAATTGACGTGATTGGTTAAATATTAGAAAATTATTACGCGCTCTTTCTCTGTGACAGAACTCTAATTAAAGATGAAGATTTTAAAATGTAGATACTGCATATACATATATATAAATACTTTATATGACGGAATTATATATATATATATATGAATTATATCAGTAAATTTGCTTATGAATTACAAGAAGATAGAACAAGAAATTCGGAATTTTAGTACATACAACTCTTATACCACAACACTCATGACACATGCATCTAATAATTGTACTGCTACTACAACTGTTGCCACTACTACTGCTAATACTGCTGCTGCCAATCAGCTATTACAAGTCGTTATCCATTTTTGTTTTATTTTTTCCGACAAAATGTCCTAGCATTTATGACAGATCATACAAATAAGCTTTTTCATTCTAGTTTAACTGTACAATTTAGACCTAGAACAGAAAACGTGTCTCTATAAAACTCACTTATCTTTAATATTATTAGTCGTCTGCCCGTTACGCATTAACAGAACGATTATTTCCATAAAAAGGCAATTTTTCGTTATTATTTATAAATTAAAATCAAATATCTTTAATATTTCTCAACTATAAAACTTTTAAGTTGAGGCACAAAGGCAGGTGGATTAGAGTACATATCATTATTATTATTATTATATGCGGACCAGGTTGAGTGGATATCTTATTATTATTTTATGCAGACCAGGTATTTTGATGTGTCGAGATTTAGTTAATTTTATAAACCTAATAATTCGATTAAAAACTGAAATAAATCGCTATTGCATCACACTAAAAAAGGACTAAAAATAAACTTTTTTATAAAAAAATATCAAAAGATCAGTCATTAAAAGTTTGTTTATTTTTGTAAAATGTCACTTTTTTCTGATCATTTCTTGAACTTCATTACCATAATTTCTCTCTGAACACCTAATGGTAAAAATATTTAAAGAATTAATAAGTTAAAGAGTTGTGTTAGAGACTAAAGGCTTAAGATAAAAAGTTTATAATAAATAATATCGTCATGATAAATATTTTTTATTACAATTTCAAAACAAACATTTAAACTTTAGCTTCATATAATAATAATTTCAAAAAAATAATAAACATCTGTGAATAAAAGTGATGCTGTGCCACAAAATAAACTTTGCACCTTCATTGAAAACTGGAAACGTCTTGAACTTAAGGACATCCATGCTTCCAACAAAACGTTCAAACTCTCTCACTCCACCTCCAACTCCAAAATAGTAGGTCTTCGCAGCTAGTAGACTGCAAGGCAAGTTTTAGAACTCATGATAAAATCAAATTCAATATCAATTGAGATTTTTTCAAAATTTAATCAAATTTTATTAATAATTTAACGGCATAAATTGGGTAAAAGAGAATTGCTATAATGAAAATTGCTAAAAAATTTGAAAAGATCTCTAACCACATTCCTTCAGGTTTTAAGAAATCTTTCAAAATTCGGTGCAAACTTTCGTAGTATTTTTTACAGTAGATTGTCTCTGACGACACGATCACGTCGTACCTTAAAATGAGTGTTTACCATCATTACACAACATCATTCATGTTATTATTATTGTTGATAACTGAAATTCACCTTACTTTGTAACAAACACCTTCTAATATAAATCAATACATCACAATACCATAATTTAAGATTAAATTCAATTAATTCAAATTTGTATATAATAAATTCATTTAAGATATACTTATTGAATCAATTCATTATAAAATAAAATAACTAAATTGATAAAACTACGAATTGATAAATGTTGATAAATTTTGATTATTTTAAAATTTGAAAAAATAAATAATTACTGAGTGGTAACTTTCTCAGCCATCCTGCTCCAACTACCTGCAAAACACCTAACACCATGGGCTGCGTTTGCTTCATCGTTACTTTTCTTCTTGTTCAATACATCGGATTTCAAACAGCTCTTTGGCAAATTGATGGCAATGTTTGGAATTGTCAACCTTTTCAAGACTTCTTCATTCTATAAAAAACATTTGAAATAAAATGCAAGCAAACATTTAAGATAATTTATGTTGATAAAAAATGTATACGAGACAAATTTTTTGTTTTTTGATATAGGTTACATTTTACAGCAAAAATTGAGCATATATATCTGGCAAAAAAGCTTACATAATCCTGGAAATGAACGTCTGTAGCACCATTCAGCAGAGCATAAACTCCAAGAAAGCCAGCACCACAACCAAGCTTTTAATTTAAATTATAATAACTTTGAAAAAATTTTTTGAGACAATGTAAAAAGAAGTGGTTACAAAATGATAACAGAATGCTTACAAAATGATAACACAATTGACTAAATGATAACTAAATGTTGTTTGTTGCTCACATCCAACACTGATTTGCCTGTGAATGAAATTTCATTTTTGATGAAATACTGCAACAGATCAATCGTGCATTCCCACACTTTGAAGCCTCCTATAATTTTAATTAATTAATTAATTAAGCTTCCTTTAATTATGATTGATTGATTAAATAATTAAGCCTTCTATAATTATAATTGATTAACTAATTAAACCTCCCAGAGTTATAGTTAATTAGTTAAATTATAATTGAATAGTAAATTGATTTATTAATTAACTTAAAATCTGAAATCATTAAAAAATGAAACGTAGAGTACCTTCATATTTATTTGGCAAAAGATCTGACTTGTAGTTAATAGCTTGGACAATATTTTCAGACAAATTATTATCATCATTAAGTGTTAAAGATTTTTCTAAACTGTTAGGATCAAGACATTTGATTGCATAGTTGTCGGTTATTTGGTACTCCGTTGTTTCAACTCTATCCTTTATAGTTTACAATGGCCATTTTAAATTTCATTGAAGTATTAAAATTAAATATGTGAGTTTCAAACAGACATAAACAATTAATCCAACTTTAAATAACAGGCCAATGATTTTTTAATTTAATCTTTAAGAACATGTTATCAAAAAAAATTAATGATTAATTGATAAAATAAATAACAAATGTTATACCAACAAATCAAAATCACACATAATTTCTTTAAAAGGTAGCAAGTCCGAATCATTTGGGGAGGATGAATATTCCTTATTTCCATTATCATCTGAAAATGAAATTTCTGATTGCAGCATAATAATTAATAATTAACAAGGTTAAGAACCGGATTGAATACTAAGTTTTTGAAAACTCTTAGATGCTTGCAATTTATTGTTTGATTTGACATTAGATTGATTGACGTGTTTCAGTATTTGTATTTTTTAATAACTACTATTACTATTCTGTTTTGATAGCGACAAAAAATTAATTTAAATTTATTGCAAGCATTAAGTTTCATGCACGGCCAACGCAAATAATTATTCATGATGCTATAGATAGCCAGAGTCAATCTAATCAGAGATTTTAGCCCGGAATCAAAATCAAATATTTTTGAAGGGCCTAAGTCGGATTTTTTCATCCAACCCCAAAAAATGTTATTAATTTTTTAAAATTACTCTTTTTAAATTTTTTTAAGGTGGTGCATTTTTTAGAAAATAAGTGCTTTTAGCAATGAGCTTTTAGCAATGAGCAATGACTTTAATGGTTTAATACAGAAAATAAATACTAAATAATGTCAATAAATCACATAATTTTTCCAGTTAGTTTCAATTATTTAATATATAAAAATATAATTTATTACATAGTACATACTTTCTTTGGTTTACGTTTCTGATAATATCACTCTTGAAATTCAAAAAATCATTTATTCTAAATTATTTATTTCTTAACTAGTGTTTTTAAATAAAAATTTATTTAAACATTTAATAATTAAATGGGTACTAAAAAGAAGCCGAAAGACACCTCTTTGGAGATGAGGACAACTGAAAGCGACCTCGGTTTAAAGTTGTGTGAAGATTGCCTTAGCTGCAATAGAGAAATACTGGCCCAAATTCTTAAGGAGAATTTGCTTTGTGAAAGTTCCGTTCCAAGGTACTAAGTGCAGAAATTAAAACCTCAACTCAGTCTATGATATCAAGGATGAATTTTCTTGAAGAGGCTGTAAAAGCTCAAAGTGAAGAATGGAAATTGTTAGCAAAAAATATTGAAGACTCTTCTCAGGCTTCTATAAAACAGCTTGAGTACTATGAAAAGTTAACTAAAGCTACTGTTGTGCAAAATGAACAAACGTTGATGAAATATTCTGATGTTGTGAGGGGTGGGGTTAATTTGCTCTCATCTGATGTGAAAATGATGAAGGAGTTAATTCAGGCCACATCAACTAAGATGGATGTTATTAATGAAAGAGAAAAGAGGAAAAATAATATCATTCTGTACAACATGTTTAAAAAGGAAAATATTAAAGAGTCAGTTAACAAGCTACTAAAAGAGATCTCAGGCACGGACTTGGGGACAGAGGTAGTTGAAATTTCAAGATTGGGGAGAAAGTCTGATGAAGAAAAATCAAGACCCGTTCTAGTTCAGTTTTCTAATTATACTGTTAAAAATCTCATCCTAAACAACTGCACCAAGCTGAAAAAATCCTTGAATTTTAATAAAGTCATCATCAACCATGACCTTTCAAGGGAAGATAAAATAAGTAACAGTAAGATTTTGGAAGAGAGAAAAAAAGAAATTGGTGAAAAAGATGATGTATCAAGGTGGCAGACTGAAGGGCGTGCCAGGAGATTTTTATGTTATTGCTTTCAAGAAGCAAAATTTACTAAAGTAAAAAATTCAAGTTGCAATAATAGTAATAATTTAAGTGTCATTATGACTAATGTTGACTCAATAACAAACAAATTTTTTGATCTAAAAATTTTTCTACAAAGTTTGGATGTTGCACCTGATCTAATTGCTTTGAGTGAAGTTAATCCTAAAAATTTCAATCAATGTAGAGTTTTATCAGAGTTCTGTCTGGATGATTACTCAATCATTTCTTCTGGTTTTGCTGAACAACACAGAAGAGGTTTAATGTTGTTTTGTAAGAGATCATTACTATTAACTGAAATAAATTTAAATTCATCATTCAAAGAATACATAATAGTTAAACTATGTGTTTCTAATAGAGTTTTAAATATTCTCTTTGTTTATAGAAGTCCAAACTCTAATGTTGGAAATAATGATCTTTTGCTGAAGTTGATAAATGATGTGCTGGCATTACCTGGTGAAACCCTATTGTTTGGGGACTTTAATTTTCCTGACATTAACTGGGACACGTCCAGTTTTGAAGGTAATGATGAGAGGGTTGAAAACAGATTTTTGGATCTTCTTAAAGATAAATTTTTAATACAACACATCAATCATCTAACGAGATTTAGAGATGGTCAGACATCAAATATCCTGGATCTGGTGATTTCATCCCAGGAATTTATAAATAACATCATACATTACCCACCTCTAGGTAACAGTGATCACTCAATTTTGGAATTCAAGGTGACTGGTTTTTGTTGTTCAGCCATGGAATGTGATAAAAAGTATTGTTTTGATATGGGTGATTATATAAATTTTAGAAATGTACTGGGGGTCTCCTTGCAGGTTCCTTCTTCTTGGTGTGGTGGTGCAGAGGATAATTGGAAATTTTTCAGGGACCAATTAGTCACTTGTTCTCAAAAGTTTGTTCCGATGAAAAGAAGAATATATTGCAATTTTAAAATAAATGAAAAACTAAAATCTCTTATTAAACAAAAGCATTTGATTTGGAGATCAATTTACAGATACGGTGAAGACAAAATGGACAAATATCGTTCAATCAGAAATGAGATAAAGAGACTCGCCAGTGTCTTGAAAAATCAATATCAGGAATCTATTGCAAGAAATTTCAACAGAAATCCCAAATTGTTTTGGAATCACGTAAAAAAAAATCACTAGGCGTCATGAGGCTATTGGTACTCTGTCAATTGATGGGAGGGTCGTTACCTGTGATGATGAAAAAGTTGAAGCGTTTGCAAGTTTTTCTCTTCCGTTTATGAATTGGATTCAAATTTTGAGAGCCAATTTTGTGCTATAATTGGAAATTCCTATCCGACTATGGACGATTTATCTATTGATGAAAATATGATTCTTTCTAAATTGAAACAACTAGTGACAAGCAAATCAGCGGGGCCGGATGAAATTCATCCCAGAATTTTATGGGAAATGAAAGATTTTGTTTCTAAAGGTTTGAGCAGAATTTTTCAACGTTCATTGGATGAAAGTGTGGTATTTGATGATTGGAGAATTAGTCACGTTGTTCCCTTGCACAAAAAAGGACGCAAAGATTTAGTTCAGAATTATCGTCCAATTGCACTTACATCAATTTGCTGTAAGATTCTGGAGTCATTAATAAAAGATCACATTATGGATTATTTTCTGAAAAATAATTTGTTTTCAAGTAATCAATTTGGCTTCATCCCAGGTCGTTCAACGGTTTTGAATCTTTTGAAATTTTTGGACGTGGTGACTGAAGGAGTAGATCATGGTTACGAGGTTTGTGTGGCATACTTGGACCTCGAGAAGGCGTTCGATAAAGTATCCCATAGTCGTTTGTTGTTCAAGCTTGAACAGTATGGTGTGAATCATAAGATAGCAAAGTGGATTGATAAATATTTTCAGGGCAGGATGTTTCAAGTCAAGTTAAACAACACTTTATCGAAACCAAGACCTGTCTTGAGTGGAGTCCCTCAGGGTGGTGTTCTAAGTCTTCTGCTATTTCTCATCTATATTAATGATGTTTCTTCTATTTGTGATAGTATGTTCCTTTTCGCTGATGACGCAAAATTATTTAAAGTAATAAAGTGTGAGGAAGATAAAATAAATTTTTTGAAAGATTTTGTGAACATGATGAATTGGTTTAAAACTTGGAGGTTGAAGTTGAATTCAAACAAATGTCAGCTCCTAAGAATAGGATCGAATAAACCAAGCCCGCCATTTACTATACTAGATGATGATGGTTTGACGTTTCAGTTACCTGAGGTTGAGGAAGTATCTGATCTGGGGGTTATTATTGACAACAAGTTGAAGTTTAAAAATCATGTGCTAAAGGTAGTTCATAAAGCAAATAGTATGCTTGGAATTATTGCCAGAAATTTCAAACACCTTTCCAAGGCAGCATTTGTAACCTTGTTTAAGTCATTGGTTCGTTCGCACCTAGAGTACGGCATACAAGCATGGCATCCTTATAGAATTGGTTTGATAGATGAAATTGAAAAGGTTCAGAGAAGAGCTACGAGAACAGTGAATTCTTGCAAGGAACTTCCATATGAAAATAGATTAAAGAAACTTAATTTGCCCTCTCTTGCCTACAGGCATCGTAGAGCTGATCTCATATTGCTGTATAGAATAATCCATGGGGAAATTATGGAGGATATCAGTCCAAGGGTAATGTTCTCTTGTTATGATCGAACTCGAGGTCACAATCTGAAGTTAACTACAGGTGCTTGCCACAAAGACAGTAGGAAGTATTTCTTTTCTAACAGATCAGTTGATGATTGGAACAAATTGCCCTCAGCTGCTGTAAATTCATCCTATCTATGTGGTTTTAAATCGGCAATAGACAATTTTTTTGGAGATGTCATGTTTGATTGGAGGGCTAATTTCTGATAATTTCTGATAATCTCAATAATATTGTGTCTTTTGTTTATTTTCCTATATTTTTAAATTTAAATTTTCGTTGACTCAATTTTTTATATTCTCTGTTAAAAATCCCTTTGTTTCGGTTCGTCTTCAATTTTGGTTTTTTATTATATTTGTGATTGTATTAACTAGACAGATTTTGTTGTTGATTCAATTTCCTGTTTGATTGCCACTGTAATGACTTTGTTAAACATCTAATGAAGTTAACTCATTTAATTTTATAATGACAATTTGATTTTTATCTTAATCAGTTTTTAATTTTTAAGGGTTTATTTTTGTTACTTTTGATTTTTTGATTTTTATTTGGTTGGCAATGGGCTATGCCCGAGCTATTTCTAATAATAATAATAATAAATTTACTAAGAAAAACACTTACATTGACTGATTTAAATTTAAAGTGTTTTTTAAAATATTTTCTTTTCATTAATGATGAAATGGTGAAAATATGATCCAAAAGTTGAAATTTTTTTTCAGTATGTTCTAAAACATCTCACTAATTAAAACATGAAAATACAGTAGTAAATTTACTTAGAAAAACAATTACAATTATATTGACTCACTTTAAGCGTTTTTTAAAGTATTTTCTATTTACTAGTGATAATAATAAGGTGGGTGAATTTTATAGGTGAATAAGGCGGAGTGGATTTTTTTTAAGCCTTAAAACTTTTTTCACTTTTTTGACACTGGCTAGTATAGATAGAGGTGTAAAAGTTTATTTAATGTTTAAAAGTTAAAATAATAACCTAACTTTAACCCTAAAAGTTTTTTCTATCTTTTAAACATAAAATTAACTTTTTTACAGCTAAGCATCATGGTCATGCATAATTAACTGCGTTGGGCATGAAACTTAATGTTTGCCACAATATTTACTTAACTAGTATTTATTAATTTATTAACGACGAACGAACAACGAGTAGAAACCTTTTTTGAACTTCTTGCGTGAAATAATTTCCTCACCATCATCTTCATCTTTTTTTTTCTCGCACTTCACCTCTCTGTCATCTCCTTCATCTTCTTCGAACCTGAACTGGAACATGGTGGGTGATGGCACGAGGCTCAGATGCACGCATCAGCACGGCAGCCAGCAGAGCTGTATTGTATGGAAAACTACGAGTGCATTAAGTACAAGCAAAGCAACAAACGTGGAAATCACGGTATGTGATCGTAATGCTGTGGTTAGGGTTATCTTTAAGTTATTTTCAAGTAGAAATTTTTCTTATACACAGCCTGCATGTATAGAAGTATCTCCTTATCTACTTAGTTGCGGCAAAACTATGGATATAATGGATATGGCATGAAAATTAATTTATTACAAAAATTGTTTTTTGTTCTATGGATTAAGCATCGTCGTTGTCTTCTTCAGCGTCATTGATTAATCGTCTGATCTGAAATTATCGCTTAATATATATCCATGGGCTAAACATTTTGTGCCACAGTCTGTCTGTACGTACAATACAGTATCTACGCCACACAAAATTACGTTCTACGTTTTTTTTTTCAATCTCTTACTGAAACTATTTTTGATACTACCTTATTTTCTGATGTTGATGATTTTGTCTATGCTTTTAATATCTACATTACTTTTATTCTTGATAAGCTTATTCCTCTTAAATCTTTTACTTATAGGCTCTATTCTCGTAAGGCTCCTTGGTTTGATTATGCTTGTGTAGTAGCCAAGAAAAGTGTTAGAAGACTGGAGAAATCCTATAGGTTAAATCCATCTAACTCTCTTTGTTCTATCTATAAATCTGAATTGATTAATTATAAATATCTACTATTCTCTAAACACTCTACTTTTCTTAGAAATTTTATAACATCTGCTTCAACATCTAAAAATAGGTGGTCTGTTCTATCTAAACTTTACATAAAAAATCCTCTCATTCATCTTTTTCTGCTCAATAGTTTCATGACTTTTTTGTAAATAAAATTACTTCTTTATGAACATCTAGTTCTAATTTTTCTTCTCATAACTTTACTAAACTTACTACTGAATCTTTTTCTGTATTTACTCCTATAAATCTTTTAGAATTAACTAAAATTATTAATTTTATGTCGTCTACAACCTGTTTTCTAGATCTACTTCCTTCTAATTTACTTAAAGAATTTTTATCAATATTTTATCCAATCATTCTCAAATTAGTTAATTTATCTCTTTCCACCTCTAAATTTCCTACTTCTTATAAGAATTCT